CCTGTAATCCCAGAAGTCAGGAGGCTGAGGCAGGAGGACCGCTATGAGTTCGAGACCAGCCCAAACCACAGAGTGAGTTCCTCCAGGTCAGTTTCAACTACATAGTGAGACCCTGTCTCAAAAAAAAGCAAAAAAAAAAAAAGATCAAATGAAAAGGAATGGCCGTATCAAGGTAAGGAAGTGGAGGCACTGTAACTTTCGTACACTACTGGTAGAAACGTGAAATGGTGCTAACAATTTAGAAAAGTTTGGCAATTTCTTAACCTGTTAAATAGACACCTACCATAAGATCTAGCTATTCCAAGTGTCGATATTTGCCCAAGAGCAACCAAAGCACATGTTCATACAAAGACTTGATCATGGATATCTGCATCAGCTTGGTTTGGCTGGAAAGGACCTAAATGTCCATGAACAAGTGAATATATAAACTGTGGTACATTTATACAGTAGAACACTACTCAGCAATGGAAGGGACTATGAATAAATCTGAAATAATGATTCATAATGAAGACAGATTCTTAAAAAAGAGTACATATAAAAGGTATGTCAGCGTTAGATCTAAAACGTCCCCTCAAAGCCTCATGTGTGGGAAACTTGAAAAGTGAATGGACTCTGGGAGGTGGGGGTCTGGTGGAGGAGGGTCCCAGTGGGGCAGAACTGAAAGGGCGTATTCTTCGCTCTGCCTTTGGGCTGCTGTGGGGTGAACTGCTGTCTCCCGCCGTGCCCTTCTGCCACGGATTTTCCGCTTTGGAGCCAGCTAACCATGGAATGAACCCTTGTGGAACTGTGAAGCAAACTGTGGGTATGGACTACTGCATCCCACACAGGAAAGTGATTAACACAGAGTGATAGCTGTTATATGAAAGTCTAGGAAATGCAAACTAACAGAAAGGAAACCAGTGGTCACTTGGGAACTGGTAGGGGGAGGGTCAGGAGGAAGAGATTCCAAATGGACCCAGGAGACCTTTGGGGAAATGTATGTATTCATTATGTTCACCTTTGTGATAGTTTCATGGTCATATACATGTGTCCAGTTATAGTGTATACTTTACATATACACAGTTGAGTATATACCAATTATACCTTAAAAATCTGCTAAAAAAGGAAGTATTTTATCATTTTTAGCATTATTTAGCATTTTCATTTTGGCAATTCATTTCTGCCAAAATCCAGATAGCATAACTCAGTAGTAATTCTAATGTTAGTTATGAGTTGTATCTGTGTGTTATGTCTTATTATGTCCAAGTTTATTTAAATATTCAACCTGTTCCAAAGCATAGATCCTGTGACAATTTTAATCTCAATTTTTTAAACTATCATGAACAGTCTATTGTTAACAAGAGCACTATTATACTAGCATCTTTCAACTAGTTTATGTAATATTTTCAATTTTAGCACTACATTTTTTTTAGTCAGAAAAAGGTAAAATATATGACATATTCCCAATTAAATATTGCATTTTTCAATCTTTTTTTTTTTCTCCAGTACTGGAGTTTGAAGTCAGGACCTTGTGCTTGCCAGCCAAGTGCTGTGCTGCTGAGCTAAATCCCTGGCCCTTGCATTTTCAACATTAAAGGAAAATTTATATAATATAAATTAGCAGAAATCCTTTAATATATAGTTAATGGTTCTCCAAACATATAATGACACATTTCCTTGTGTTTGAGACAGGGTCTTGCTCTGTAGTCCAGGCTGACCTTCAACTCACTATGTATCCCAGGCTGGTCTTGAATTTATGGCAATCCCCCTGCCTCAGTCTCCTGAGTACAGGGATTACAGATGTGCACCACACTTGGCTGACACATTTTCAAACTATATGAAATTACAAAACTGAGCAATGAAATTATATAAACACATCTAGCTTCAAATATTCACAGTATTTTGTGATTCTTGATTTATCTATTGATACAAATCTCATAGATTTTCCATGTGTGTGTGTGTGTGTGTGTGTGTGTGTGTAGGGGGTGTTCTGGGAATTTAACACAGGGACTTTGCACTGAGCTATATCCCCAGCCTATTTTATTTTTTTTTATTTTAAAAAAATGTCTTGCTAAGATAGTAAGTCACACAGGCCGGGTGTGAACTTGTGATCTTGCCTCAGCCACTAACAGTGTTGGGATTATAGGTATGCGACACTAAACCTGGCTTCAAGGAATATTATAAGGCAAATCCCAGCCACCATATTATTTCACATCACAAATATTTAAGTATTTAAGGTTCTTCTTTAATATAAGCCACAGCTTATTTTAAAATTACTTCATATAAATTACCAGTACTCTTAATTTCTTATTATTTTCCCCAACAATTTATATGAGTATACACATATTTAGAAATTCTTATTTCAATTAGGTGAAGAGCTCAGGGAGGTGGGTAAGTTTTTGAAAAAAGTAATATAAAGATGTATACATATATGTGTCTATTTTAATATTTTACTTTGCAAAAGTATTGTGATAGGTTATTATAAAATTAATACCAACATGAGAGGTCTATAACACATTAGTAAGCAAAAGTTTATTTAGGGGAAATTTTTTGACAAGGTCTTGTTATGCTGCCCACGATGGGCTTGAACTCATGACTCTCCAGCCTCAGCTTCCCAGGAGGCTGGGATTACCAGCTACTGCACCTGGCCACGGGTTCATCTGCTTCTATATTAATTCATTTATCTCTCTCCCAGGTGTGCTGGAGTCAGCACAGAATAGCTTATAAGACCTAATTAATAAATTTTTTTGTTTTGCTTTTTTGAGACAAGGTCTTGCTCTGTAATTCAGGCTACCTTTGAACTATGTAGCCCAGGCTGGCCTTGAACTATGGTGATCCTCCTGCTTCAGCCTCCCAAGTACTGGGATTATGAGTGTGCATCATTACACCAGGCTAACTGGTAAATTCTTAGTAATATTGTGAATTGGCTGCTAAATGCAACCATAATGAAAATTTAAAATAGATTTATAATAAAATCAATTTTATTAAAGGCAAGGGAATAGAGCTGAGCATGGTGGTGCATGCTTGCAACCTCAGCACTCAGGCTGAGGCAGGAGGATCCTCACTAGTTTGAGGCTGTGGGCTATATATAGTGAGTTCAGGGTCAGCCTGAACTACAATGGGAGACCCTGCTTCAATGCCCACTCCCCCAAAACCCCAAAGGAATAAATCCTTCAAAACTCACCAATGTTGGATTATTTTTAATACCCTAAAGATAAGCTTGAGTTCAGTTTACAAATGCCTACTTTATGTACATGGTGCAAACATTATGTAATCGTATGCTGCTGACAAGTCTTGCTCTTATCCATGCTCAGTAACATTATATGAGCAGCTTTTATAAGTTGCATGCCACCAATACAAGCAAATACTACAAATGAGTCCTCCCTCACTCACCTTTGGAAAGCTGACTGTTCACATGTGTTAATACCCTACTGTATCCACTCTGAGCGCTAATTATTGTGCCAGGGACTGGAGTAATATAAAATACTTGCATCCTAAAAAAAACTTAGGATATTTTCTTTATCCAGTCTCCCACCTGATGGCAGGCATTTGAGCTGCTTCCAAGTTTTAGCTATCACAAACTGTGCTGCTATGAACACGGGTGCACACATATCACTATGGTATCAGTCTTTTAATTCTTTGGGGAAGATAACCAGCACAGAAATAGCTGGGGGCAAATGGGACTTCTAATCCTAGTTCTTTGAGATATCTCCATACTGATTTCCATGGAGTACTACTCAGCCATAAAGAATGAGAAACTAGAGACATTTATAGCTAAATGGACGCACAGTGAGGCGATGCTCTTAAGTGAAAGAAATAGGACACACATGTATAAATACCGAATAGTTTCTCTTGTGTGAGAAACTGAAAGTGTAAATAAGGACTAAAAAGTATAATAGATAATGTGAAATAGGAAGAAAGGGTGCAAAGGGGAAGGGGAAGTGAGAGGGGGAGGGGAAAAGAGAAGGGAATGGAATTAATATGAGAAAAAGAAAAAATGGAAACAAAGTCTTTGTAAATAGAGAGGGATGGAGGGGTAGAAGGGAGGGCTGGGGAATGGGGAAAAAATAAGAACCCAGATGGATTATGTAAATGTGCAAATTTCCAATGATGAATGTCACATTGTATACCTTAAATGTACCAAAAAAGCCCAACAAAACAAAACAAAATACCCCCCAAAAAACAACTTAGAGGAGAGAACCTCTTAATTTGATAATACTAAAAGTGCTTTAATAGAAAATATAAAGATAAGTATGAACAGGTCCTTAGGAAAAAAAAGAATACATGGTATATAGCTTTTAAAAATTTTAAAATATTATCAGAAAAACTTGCTATGTTGAAGGTCAGAAAATAAAGGAATACTCAGGCCGGGGATGTAGCTCAGTGGTTCCACCACCTGCCTTGCAAGCACAAGGACCCAAGTTCAATCCCTGGTTCCAAAAATTAAAAAACCAAAAAAGAAAAAGAAAATGAAGGAATACTAATGAGGTTGCAGCTTTGGTTCTAGTTGTTTCACGCGTTGAATTTCAAAAGAAAAACAGATATTGACTTAATAAAATGCTGTGTAAAATGAATATATGTTCTTTAAATAATATAGTGTAAAAGTAAGAAAAAAAGCAAATATGAACCTGATTTTCTAAGTGTAAACTAGAGTGTTTAATAAGCGATTTTCCACTAAACAGAAATAGAAAGTAAATCTTAAAAAGTGAGGTATCAGTGCAAAATTCACCAAAATTTGCCGAACTTGTTTTGCTAGTTGATATTCTCAAAAACCAAAGCTTTGTCTGTCTAGTTTGCATTTACACTTAGTCTGGGCATTTAATCTCCCTTTTGGTATTAGTTTTTCCATACACTGTAAGTTGTTTTATAGGGCCTTAACATTCAGCTAGTTTTATAAATTGTGAAATCAGTTTTTACTTGCAAACAACTTTTTAAAAAACTTCTCATAAAATAAGGAGTACAAAGAATTAAAACGTACACTGTGTTTGTTTATATGTCTTTCTTCTGTTTAAGTTATTTACCTCTTGTGAAAGCTGTGTTACTTGGTCCTTTTGATGCTCCAGATCTTTTAAAATCAATGAGTTTTGTTTTTCTAACTGAAGCACTCTTCTTGCCAAGTGGACACTAAGTGAATAAAATGAGAAAATTAATGCTTATAAAAGTGGAGTGCTATCTAAAATACTCAAAAAGTGTTTGTGCTAGAAAACTGACATTTCCCAATAATACTTAAATATTAACAGAAAAAAGATGGAACCAAATAATTAATAGCAGGAGACCAATAACCCAACAACTCAGAATTCTGAAAGCAACATTAAAATCTCCATAACATAAATGTGATGAACTGATTACAAGGCTCATGTTTTCCAGCCCTTGCTATAAAAGTGGAGAGCTACATTATGATACTTGCATGAAAAGACCACAACACAGCAATTTACAACTCTTCTCCATTTTTGTAAAAAATTTCTCAGTTACCAACAAATCAAGAAATTAGTTCAAACATTATGAACAACAATAAGATTGCATGCACTTTGACAACCATCCACGTTTACTTCAGACACCATAATGCATTTTATAATGCAAAATACAGCTGAATAGATTTTCTACTGAAAGCAGAGATGGAGAAGACTTAAAACTTGGAGAATATCCACACTACTGGCAAAGATCCTGTACAAAGGGAAATCATCCCTCTGATGAACTGCATCACCACACTTTTTGTACTGACCTTTGGCGTTTAAAATCACATTAAATATGAAATGCTCCAATTTCATTTTTAAGATATGGTTTGAAAAAAGTGTTTGTTTAGATCTAATATTTTATCCTTTTAACCAACATAACATCGTGCCTTAATAATCAGATGAAGTCAGAAAGTTAGAAATGGAAAAGACATTGAGTTCCCATTTTTTGATGAACATTCTCCTCCTCCCCGTCCTCTTTTAAAGTTTTGAGACAGGGTCTTGCTTCTGTAATATAGGCTAGCCTTCATCTCATGGTAATCCTATCTCAGCCTCTCAAGTACTTGGATTACAGATGTGCACCACCGCACCTGCAATAGCCATTCCTTTTTAAAAGCAGCTTTATTGATATAAATTTTTGATATATAATTTTATTGATATGCAACTAACATACAATAAAGCCTTCCCATTCAAAGCATATAATTCAACAGCTTTTAGTATATTTACAGTTGTGGAACTATCACTATAATCTAATTATAGAACATTTTACCACCTCCCCAAAGAAATTTTGTGCCCTTTAATTGTTATCCATCTTCCCCACAGCCCCTAAAAGCATTCTGATTCCCATCTCCACTGGCTTTAGGGCAACACTAAACTACTTTCTTTCTTTATAGATTTTTAAAGCATTTATAGTTTTAAAATATTTACATGGGTATCCTGCTTTTTATTACCCATTGTAAATATACCAAGGTCTCTGTAATTTGACTTGAATTAAATATCAAGATCTCTACACGCCAGGCGTGGTGGCGCACACCTGTAATCCTAGCTCTCGGGAGGCTGAGGCAGGAGGATCACTGTGAGTTCGAGACCAGCGTGGGCTACATAGTGAGTTCCAGGTCAGGCTCAACTACATAGTGAGACCCTGTCTCAAAAAACAAAACAAAACAAAACTCTACAAACAAAATAAACCTTAATGTTAATTTTGTACTATGTTTACATTTAAAATCTATTGATTCTAGTAAATGTTTACAAACACTGTTGTTTTATATTAGTAGCTCTGTTTTTCATTAAGTTCATTTAAAATTTTGGAGGTATCTTCAGCCACAGTTTCATTCTCTTTCTTACCCTGCATGTAAGGCAGGTTTAAGTTTCTTTTTCATATTTTTATCTCCTACAGAGCTTAGCATTAGCCTTTTGCATAGAGTAATTTCTCAAAAAGCATCCACTGAAGGTATAGACCATTATTTGTGTAATATGCAATATAGAACAATGAACACAATCAAATGCAACTACACAGAACTTACGGATGAGATGGAAATTTTATGCAAATGAAATTGTGTATTTTACAAAGAGATGCAAGAAATTATGAGATACAAAAGTCACCCATTACCAACATCATGAAGATAATGACTCGAAGACATCAAGCTTAGGAATGTTAAAGTGCTTATTACTTTTTTTTTTTTTTTTTTTTAGTAATCATACACCTTTAATCCTAGCATCAGACACTTATAATCCCAGTATCACACACTGTTAAACTGCTTATTTGCTTTGGGTGTTTTAAAATTTTGTTTGGGAACTGCCTGGTGCTTTTATGCTGATGTGGCAATGCACTTCTCAGTGAAAAATATTACATGACATAAAACACTGATTCAAGAAAATCTTTTATGCTAGCGCTTAAACCTTAAAACCAGGACTACTTTCTTCCAAGAATTCAAGAATTTCCCCAATTTTGGATAAGGCATTCTGAGGAAAATCAACTCAAAGCAGGAGAGATACTTTATGATGACTTTTTTTTTTCTTAAAAGACAAGGTCTTGCTATAAATTTGTTATTTAGCCCTGGATGGCCTCAAACTTGCGATTTTTCTGGCTCAGCCAACTGAGTGCTGGCATTACTATTGTGTGCCATCACACGTGGCTTACTATGTCTTGAAATTGCTCGTAAGCGTGCTCCACACTGTTATGATTACTAGCTTATAGTATAACTGTATTGAGAAGACATTTCTAGAAACGTGCTGACAGAAAGGACGTGACTATTATGTCACTTATGGTACATGGATGACACTGGTAGCTTTGGTCTCCAATACAAATGACCCTTGTTTTAGAAGTTCACTTGTATGGATAACAGAATGTATTTCCTTATAGATGTATCAAAAATGGTGTAAAGTTTTCCAGGTGGCTTTAAAAGACCTGTTTAGCCTATTAATGCAGTACCACTTCCAATCAGAAAAAAGAACAATAAAAACTGTGAAATCTTGTGGGGGATGTAGCTCCATGGTGAAGTGCCTGTCTGGCAAACCAAGGTCCTGAATTTGATTCCCGGTACAGAAAAAAAAAAAAAAAGAGAAAAAACAGTGAAATCGTTACTTAAAGGATTATATTACACTGTAACAGATTTCATCTAAAAAAAAAAGCACAGAGAGCACACCAAAAATACAAGAAAAATAATTGCTTTTCTCATTATAATATTTGTACAATGAAAATTCACAATGTTTTGATCATGAATATGAATACAGAAAAATAGGTTGAATGAAAAGAAACACATCCTCTAATTCATTCAAAAAGATACTTGTGAACCTTTTGCTTTAATAAACATTTACTAAAAATCAATACTATGCATGGATACTGAAAATCTATAAATTCTATTTGGAGGACCTAACAGTTTACCAAGGAAGATATTAAGTAGTAAGACAAAACACACATGATGCCCAGTGAAGTTGAAGCTAGAGACAGACAGGCAGGGACAGCTGAGGAAAGACCTCGTGAGACAAGGTGAGTTTGGATCTCTATCCTAAAGTGTGGATCAGATCCGTGCAGTCAGTGGCACACAGGACTGTTTGCAGAAGGAAGACAATGAAGGCTGAGTAGAAGCTTATGTCACGGCCTAGACCTGTGGTCTCCAAAAGCAGTTACACGCAAACTAACTGCTGAAGTATGGGAACTTTTATTTATATTTATTTTAATGTGACATATCTTTACTCTTTCATTTCCTGTATAGGTTTTTTTTTTTTGAGACAGGGACTTACTATGTAGTTGAGACTGAACTGGAGCTTACTATGTAGCCCAGGCTGATCTCGAACTCACAGCGATCCTCTTGCCTCAGCATCCCAAGTGCTGTGATTACAGGCGTGCACCACCACATGCGGCCCTGTACAGGTTTTATATCATTATTCACACAATGCATTAATCAGTTTTCCTCTGCTGTGTTGCAATGTAAGTTTCCTGTCGTAAAGCCAGTTGAACATGAGCTGAAATCTCTAAAACCATGAGCTAAAACAAACTTTTCCTCCTTTAAGTTGTGTATGCCAGGAATTTTGTCCCAGTGATGGAAAACTGACTAATACCAGAATCAAAGTTCTCCAAGGACTGGAAATTTTCATTTTGGTCTCTGATGTATCCTAAGTGCCTTCCTTAATGCCTGGGGCAAGAGGTGTTTAGTGATTAACTTGGAGTGATTTAACTTTATATAAAATCTCCTGTTTCTTCATAGTCTAACCAGCACTAGACATCAATCCTTAAAAGTTTTGCTAATCTCGCAGGTAAACAATAGAATTTGTTTTTAAATTTCTTTATGTATGAAATTAAAACCTCATGCTTGGGCTGGGGATTTAGCTCAGTGGCTCCACACCTGCTTCACAAGCACAAGGTCCTAAGTTCAATCCCTGGTACCACACAAACAAACAAACAACTCATGTTTGTCAGACATTAGTATTTCTTATTTAATATATTGATATTTATGTCCTTGTTCACCTACTTTAAACTTTACCTATATCTAAACTATTTAAAAGTTTCAAGGTCTTCTACTGTCTCACCAGAACTAATTCAATTTTCTTTAATGTCTACTCAGTGTCCTGAGAACATGTTTTATATGTTCCTCCACTCTGCTGGTCCTCCAGGCTGAAGATCCATTCTTCCATGGCGCAGGACCCAACTTTTTCTTAAAGATTCCTTTCAAATTCCACTTCTTCTGACTGTGACAGCCTTGATGCATCTCTATTTTTCTGACTGATGTGTCCTTGCACACACTACAGCACTGATTTACATATTTTGGGGGTATTTTAAAATTTTCTTTCATATGTGTTCATCTTTTTTCCCCTCTCAGATAGGGCTCATGTAATAGTAAGAGTCTTAACTCAGAAGTGAAGACTCATAAGTTAGTTAAAAGTCATTGTTAGTGCACCATCGATATTGCTCTAACTGAATTTTGTCTCAATGAATAGTTAAATTTTTTTTCCTCATTGAGTTTATTGGTACATTTTAGGGATACAGTATAGTTACATTCATTATTGGCATCTTGTACCTTTACATGACAGGTCTTGGTTCTCATTTTAATAGTTAGAAATTATGTTCTACCTGGATGTTATGGTGCATGTGTGCCTGTACTCCTAGCACTTGTGAGGCCAAGGTAGAGGACAATCACAAATTGAGGCAAGCCTGGGCTACACAATGAGTAA